TGTACTAGCTACTTTTAAGCACTCGACAGTCGAATGTGGCCAGTGGCTACCTTATCAGACAGTGCAAATAGAAAATATTTCCATTATCAGTAAAATTTCTACACAAGCAGTGTTAACTATGGCAAGCTCTAAGGCAAATTAGGACCCAGTACCAGTTCCACTCTTTCACAGATTTCTTTCTGTAAGAAAACTACCAGGTGACCTATTTAGACTGAGCTATTTTAGCAAGAGTATCACAGATGTGTTCTACTGTGAGTTCCCTGCTCCGACTTCTGGGAGGCAGTATAATCCTAACAGTTAAGAGCAGGCATTTGCAAACAAACTTGGGTTCAAATCTCAGCCATTACAAGCTCGGTGATTCTGGACAAGCTAACCTTTACCATTTCCGTTTCTTCTTCCACACAAAGGGAGAAATAACAATATCTCTCCAAGGCCTGTGTGAGGATTAAGCAAGCCAACATAGGTAAAGCATTTAGCACAGTGCCTGGCACAGGAAAGCACCCAGGGAAGGATGGCTCTGATTAGAATACCTGGCCTCCAAAGCACACACTGGACTCTGAATTGTGAGGCTGTTGTGTTCCCAAGCATTTTTCTCAGGGTTGGGCTTTTCTATCTTTCTCCCCATCAGGTGGATGGTCTCAGCAGGTAGTGCCCGTGGTCTCTGGCCATTCCTCTGTAAACAGGTCTCAAGAGGACAATCTAAAAAGAGCTGGCAAAAGCCTAACGAATCTGAAAATAGTTTAAAACCATAAAATTATTGGTGAACTATATTTCCAAAATATGAAATATATATATTAGATAAATTATGCCAACTACAGTAGGAAAAACTCCACTTGCAATAATAGTGAACATCTATAATAGTGAACATCTAGCTTAAACTTAAGTAAATCCACCTAAACCTCCTAATCCAATTAAATCCTCACTGAAGATGGCAGTGATTTTGATATGTGAATATATGTTTCTGTGTGTAAGAAAAAATGTTTCAATTACATTTCCGAGCCAGTTGGTAGACTTCATATCTCATACTTTGATAATAAAAGTTGTCATCTAAAATCAAAAGCAAAGGTCTAGAAACAGCAGTTTTCATTAAGAGGTAGCAAGACTGGGCCTCAAACGCTGCAGAAAATATCAGATCTTGATCCTTTAAGCAGGTGATGAAATCTTCCCACATGGCTTCAGTCCTGTTGGGTGGGGCAGACATCTGACACCCGCTAACGACAGCCATCAAGAAGTATTCCAGGTACTTCAACAGTTCCTGTCGAAGTAATTTCCACTGAGATGGCTACAAAAGACCAAAGAATTGCAATTTATATTAGGCCAGTGGGATGGTCATCTGGCCTCATTGCCACCCAGTCCCATATGAAAATTTAAGCTCACAATACTGAACCATTTGTAGTTCTCTAACACTGCAGTCCCCAATCCCCCAGACTTTGGACCAGTACCAGTCCGTGGCCTGTTAGGAACCTGGCCGCACAGCAGGAGGCGAGCGCCTGCAACCATGGGGAAGCTTCGTCTGTATTTAAAGCTACTCCCATCACTCGCATCACCGCCTGAGCTCCGCCTCCTGTCAGATCAGCAGCGCCTGAGCTCCGCCTCCTGTCAGATCAGCAGCGCCTGAGCTCCGCCTCCTGTCAGATCAGCGGTGGCATTAGATTCTCTCTGGAGTGTGAACCCTACTGTAAACTGTGCACGCGAGGGATCCAGGCTGCGTGCTCCCTATGAGAATCTAATACCTGATGATCTGAGGTGGTGCTGAGGTGGTGATGCTAGCACTGGGGAGCAACTGCAAATACAGATTATCATTACCAGAGAGGTTTGTATAATTATTTCATTACATATTACAATGTAATAATAATAGAAATAAAGTACACGATAAATATAATGCGCTTGATTCATCCTGAAACCATGTCCCCCGTCCTGGTCCCTGGAAAAACTGCCTTCCATGAAACCGGTCCCTAGTGCCAAAAAGGTTAGGGACCACTGCTCTAACACATCTGGTTTCTCATGCCTCCATGCCTTCATATACACCATTCTTTCTGCCTGGAAAGCTTCTACTTAATGATACTGGTGCTGTATTAAGCCTTTTCAGACTCAACCATGCAGAAGGCAGCTAGGCCCCTACCTTGCCTATCATGATACCCCATTCTTGTAAATATTACGTCTCCACTCTAGCGGGGCTTACACTGTTTAGGCATTTGTTTGCACCTCTCTATTTCCCTGCTAGATCACTTGACCACTGAATACTCAGCATCCAGCAGAGGGTCTGGCATCTAACATATTCCAGAAATGTATATTAAATGGATGAATGACTGAATGAGTGAATAATGGAAAGAATTTATTTACTATCCAGGAGAAAGGTGCAGCCAAAATTAATACCCTTAGAAATAAAATAGTCTGGCTGCAGGTTTGCCCTTGAAATTAAAGAGGTCGTGAACAGCAAGAAAATCAGCTGAAAGGTCCCTGGGGCAAGATGAAAAGACCCCAGGCTAACAACTAGGTTGGTATGGGATGAGGAAAGATAGAGGAAGCAGATTGAGGGGGAGAAAATAAGTAGTTTGAGAATACAAGTACTCTTGTGTTGGTCAAGGGCTGTGGAGAGCACTGACATAGTTAAGAAGTCAAGGCTGGAGGGGAAACAGGAGGACCAGAGATTGAGGTCGCTCTCCTGCTTGTCCGTGCTTTAGCACTCCATGGAGATTATACCACACACAACAAATATATATCAGCTAAACCCACTAAACAAGAAACATGTATCACTTCCTAAAAGGTGAGATTTTCTATTTATGGTGACCAGATGAGTTCCAGGGCCTTTGTCTGTAGAGGAAGAGTGGACTAAGTATATAAGTAAGGAAAAAGCCAGGAAATACACCAATCTCTATCAACAACTGTCAGCTTTCTCCTAAGTGGTGAAAATACTATCATCCAAGTAAATCCTGTGCTACCCTGATATTGTATTTACCTCACAATTAACGAAGAACAAGGAAGTAGAAAACTTTGCTGGAGAGGCCCAGAATTTTTCCATGCACTCAATGTACTGTATTTCTGCATATATACTTAGAGAGTAGAGTCACATTATATTTGCATTTGATTATGTAAATTCATTTACATTTGAAAACTACACAACAAAAATTTAAAAATTTCATAATATTCCAAAGAGTATTTTCTCTGGAGTAAGCAGTAGAGTCATAAATCTACTCTTCCCCTAGTGGTCTCAGCTTCCATATGCTACTCGGAGAAGATGCATCTCACTGTGTTGAGTGTGAGTTGATGGCTTAAAGTATGTACGTGGAACAGACAAGTTGGTCCCTAAATACAAGTCCGTTACTTCCCCTGGTGGTCAACGAAGAAATAGCCATCTTTTCCTATGCCGGCAGAGGAAGATTGCCCCTGAAATGAATGAAGATTAAGCTTCAGAGGCCAGACCCTTCATTTGTTCAGACTCGCTCTATCATCCTGTGAGGGACCCTGACAATTTTGTTATCTTCTTAAAGAGGGTTCCTCAAATAGTATAAACTTCAAACCCCACAAAACCTGGATGTGCCCATGGCTAGATGTTAAACTGGCTATGTTGGAATTTTTAGAGCTTCTTTCTCTGTCCTAAGGAGAAACTTCTCCAGGGATTTTTCAATAGTTAATTTGACTACAGGGGATTTCCACCTGCAAGCTCATTTAAGAACCTAACCTTGTCTTAAGACTCCACTGTATAGAATACACAATACATATATGCACCAAACATACATACAAACCTCTACAATGCATCATTCTAAATCGGTTGCTTTTTAACTGTTTTATATGTCTACAGCCAACTCATTCACTCGTTGTAATAACTATGTTAACCCCGCTGCACTTTTTTCAAACTCCTGTCTGTCCTGTCAGGTCGTCTTCTCCCACACCAGGCACTGCCAGGTACACAACGGGCGCGAAAAGCAAATAACCAACATGATGCGCGCCCGCGCGAACGCTCGGCCGCTTCCACTCCGCCCCGCCCTCTGCACTGACCGGCGGCCGCGCGCCCGCCCCGTCGAGAAACGCCTCAGGGATGACGTCATCATAAGCGACGACGCCGACTGCCCAGCCTTGCTCCTGCCGCAGCCGCTGACCGAGGGCGCGCGCGAAGGTCGACTTTCCTGCTGCAGGCAGGCCGCAGAGGACGCAGAGCGCTAGCTTGCGCGGCCCCTCGCTGCCGGTTCCTCTGGCGCCATCGGCGGCCTTCATGCCACCCAGGGAAACCGCAGGAGGCTACAAACACTGTCTCCCGCTCCGTCCGTCAGCCACGCACGCGCAGTGCCTCCCACTGCCGTGCTGCGCCACCTGGTGCCGCAGTGGGGAACAGGCGGGGCTTCCAGTCCATAGAGGATGCGTGGTCCCCGCTGTTTCCGAGGTTGCCCCGGTGGTCCCCTGAGCCGCTGGGGCCGAACGTCGGTGAGGCCAGACCTCGAGGCTGGGGAGACCACAGCTCTATGTTTCCTATCTCCTGGACATTCCTGAAGGGGTCACGAGTTATGATTAATCTTCAAATAGAATCATCCCGCTAGAAACTTGCAAGCCATTGGGATTTGCGCCTATGTTTTGCTGCTATGAGGTCTTCCGGCCCAGGAAAATCCCAGAAGAGACTTTAAGCGTTTTCCTCCAGTAGTCTTTGTAAGGTAAATTACTGGAAATCAAAGAATAATAGGCGACGCTCAAAGTCCAACGACCGTGCTCCATTGCCCTTCGTGAACGGTGCGGTGACGAAGTAAATATTAGTTATTGCGCCCTAATGCCACCAGTTGGCAGCAAGTGTGAGGAAATAAGGGCAAGAAAGGAACATCCTTAGACCTCAATCTCAATGTATGCACGCAGAGAACAACAGGTATTTTACTGTTTAAAAAAATACTAAGCTGTGGAGAGGTACAAAACAAAATTTTTGCGTGGGAATGTAGTGTAGTAAAATTGAACTCAGATTTTGGTTTTCCCCGTATTTTAGATTACTTCTTACTCATAAGGAGTGTGTTAAAATGTGGTGAACACGAGAGTGTAGAATCAATGTACATACTGCGTCGAAATATGACCAATAACCTGCTGTTATACCTGCTATAATTTATGATTACAACGCACAGACACATAATCTTTCTTTTGGATTGAAAGTGAAAGTGAAGAACATGAAGTTAATTTACTCTTCATTTCATGACATATTTATTGTTATCGGTCCAGGACAAAGTCCCTCTCCTTAATTTACCATTCTCTTTTATCTTCCATCCTCCACATCCACACCCATTTAACCCCTGCAGGCAACCTTTTTTTTTCTTTTTAACATTGTTATTTTTGTTTTGTCTATTTTTTAATAGACTTTATTTTTTAGGACAGTTTTAGTTTTAGGTTAACAGCAAAACTGAGCAGAAAGTGGAGTTCTCATATACCCCCTCCTCCACACTCACAGCCTGCCCCACTGTCAATGTTCCTCACCAGAGTGACACGTTTGTTATAACTGATCAACCTACACTGACACATCATTATCACCCAAAAGCCATAGTTTACATTGGGGTTCACTCTTGATGTTGCACATTGTAGAGGTTTGGGCAATGTTAAATGACATGTATCCACCCATACAGAACAGTTTCTCAGCCCTGAAAGTCCTCTGTGCTCCACCTATTCATCCTCCCTATCCTCTAACCCCTGGCACCACTAATCTTTTTATTGTCTCCATAGTTTTGCCTTCTCCAGAATGTCATATAGTTAGAATTATACAGTCTTTTTAGATTTGCTTTTTTCACATAATAATGTGTACATTTAAGTTTCCTCAATGTTTCTTCGTGGCTTGATAGTTCTTAGCACTGAGTAATATTCGAATGTCTGGATGTACCACAGTTTATTTTCCCATTCACCTCATCTTGGTTGTTTCCAAGTTTTGATGATTAAACATCTCCGTGCAGGTTTTTGTGTAGAGATAAATTTTCAGCTTATTTGGGTAAATACCAAGGAGAATGATTGCTGGATCATATGGTTAAGAGTAGGTTTAGGCCGGGCGCGGTGGCTCACGCCTGTAATCCTAGCACTTTGGGAGGCCGAGGCGGGCGGATTGTTTGAGCTCAGGAGTTCGAGACCAGCCTGCGAGACCCCATCTCTACTAAAAATAGAAAGAAATTAATCGGACAACTAAAAATATATAGAAAAAATTAGCCGGGCATGGTGGCGCATGTGTGTAGTCCCAGCTACTCGGGAGGCTGAGGCAGTAGGATCGCTTGAGCCCAGGAGTTTGAGGTTGCTGTGAGCTAGGCTGACGCCACGGCACTCTAGCCCGGGCAACACAGTGAGACTCTGTCTCAAAAAAAAAAAAAAAAAGAGTAGGTTTAGTTTTATCATAAATGCCAAACTGTCTTCCAAACTGGCTGTACCATTTTGCATTCCCACCAGCAGTGAATGAGACTTCCTGTTGCTCCACATTCTCCCAACATTTGTTGTTGTCAATGTTTTGGGTTCTCACTATTCTAATAAATGTGTAGTGGTATCTCCTTGTTCTTTTAATTTGCAATTCCTTAATACATATGGTGGTGAGCATCTTTTCATATGCTTATTTGCCATCTGCCATCCGTATGTCGTCTTTGGTGTGGTGCCTGTTCAAATCATTTTGCCCATTTTTTTTTTTTTTTTTTGAGGCAGGGTCTCCCTATGTTGCCCAGGCTGGTCTCAAACTTCTGGGCTCATGTGATCCTCCTGCCTCAGCCCCCCAAGTAGTTGAGATTACAGGAGCACACACCTCACCCAGGTTCTTTTGCCCATTTTTAAATTGGGTTGTTTGTTTCCTTAGTGTTGAGTTGTAAGTGTTCTTCATATATTTTGGGTAACAGTCCTTTATCAGATATCTTTTGCAATTATTTTCTCCCAATCTGCAGTTTATCTTTTCATTCTCTTGATAGTGTCTTCTGCAGAGCCAAAGTTTTTAATTTTAATGAAGTCCAGCTTATCAATTACTGCTTTCATGGATTATGCCTTTGGTGTTATAGCTAAAGAGTCATCACCAAGCCCAGTCTTGATTTTCTCTTATGTTTTCCTCTATGAATTTTATAGTTTTGTGTTTTATATTTTGTTCTATGATCCATTTTGAGTTAATTATTATGAAGGATATAAAGTCCATGTCTAGATTTTTTTTTTTTTGCATGTGGGTGTACAGTTGTTCCAGCACCAAACATCAGTTGACTATATTTATATGGGTCTATTTCTGAGTTCTCTATTCTCTTCATTGATCTATTTCTTTTGCTGATACCATATAATCTTGATTACTGTAGTTTTATAGTAAGTTTTGAGGTCGAGTATGTCAGTTCTCCAACTTCGTTCTTCTCCATCAATATTGTGCTGGGTATTCTAGATCTTTTGCCTCTCTATATAAACTTTAAAATCAGTTTGTCAATATCCACATAACAACTTGCTGGTATTGATTGAGATTGTGTTGAATCTAACTGACATCTTGACATGTGACATCTTGATAATAAGTCTTACTATCCATGAACATGGAATATTTCCTTTTATTTCTTTTTTGATTTCTTTCATCAGAGTTTTGTAGTTTTCCTCATATACATCTTGTGCATATTGTGTTAATTTTGTCCCTAACAAAAAGAAGTTTTAAATTTAAGTATTTCACTTTGTGGGGTGCTCATGTAACGATATTATGTTTCTAATTCTACTTGTTCATTGCTGGTATTAGGAAAGCAATTTATTTCTGTATACTGATTTTGTATGCTACAGCCTGGCAACTGTGGGATCTGTGACCAGAAAGAGAGGAAAAGGAGGAGAGGAGGTAAAACCCAAGTGGTCCTAGCTGAGAGGGAAGTTAAGTTCCACTAACCACCTTGCTGGGAAGTATACCCCCAGCAGGTCATATACAGTAAGAACTTGGTTTATATAAAATTAAGATAGTTAAAACATCTAAACTGTGATATTACTAAATGAATATGCTCAAGAAAATTAATACTCTAAGTCACTTTTTTCTAAAGTGTACTTTTCAAATATGTGTTGATTCATATTCTGAAAACAGATTTGCCCATGAAGCATGAACAAAGGTGGAGGAAACTGGGTGGTAGGCAGGGGCTCTTCAAGAAAATATTGAATTCATTCATATTGATAAACTGTAATAAATTGCTTAAAATAGATGAGCTAAAAAATTGCACAGTTTATCCTAGTGATATTGGTGGGACGTTTCCAACATATTTTATGATTTATTTCAAGAGGGAAATAAAGCAAAAAAATCATTTGCAATTCATGACAAGAGCAATTCATCATATTAAGGTTGAGGTCATTACTTGAAGGTTAATGTAGGATGATTAAAAACAAAAGATTGAGGTCAGCTCTGAACCATAACTACCCAGGCTTTGAAAAAGAAGTGTAAGATTGAATTTATTGGTTTTGCCTTTTTCTGCTCCTTGCCGTCAACTAACCCTCACCAAACTATCAATTCCATATAGCAAACCTGTACTCAACACCTCCACCAGGCAAAAAATAATTCTTAATCTCAGCAAGCTTACAGATAGTAGGGAACACAAATATGTAAATTGGCAAAGTCTGAGAACAAAAGAGAATTATAGAATTATAACACCTAAAAAAGTGTAAGTGTAGCACAGCGGAATTAGTTTATTTCTATAGCCAAAGTGAAGGTCAGCTTGGTTTTGAATGATAAACAAGAATTTCCCTATTGAAAAGAAATGGCATTCTAGGTAGAGGGAAAAGCACAAGCAAAGGTAGAGGAAACTGGCAGTTAGGCTGGGGTCAGAAGAGGAAGGGCTTTGTATGAAGGTGTTGATGATTTAGTCAGGAGCATCAGGCACTACAAGGAGCAGAGGGCAGTGAAGAGAATGAAATGGAGGTGGAGAATAAAGGCTAAGAACCAGTAAAGAAACTTCTGAAATTGTTCAGATAAAGCTAGTGCTTGAAAACAGAAGCAGCAGAGATGAATAAAGATAGTAAAGTTTTTCTTTAAGAAAATGAAGACTTGGTGATTTACTGGCTGTATGGGAATAAAAAACAGTAGACCATAGGAGTCTTTAGTTTTCCGATTGCTGGTCATTCCACTTTAAGGAAGTCAAAATCCAGTTTTCAATATTGATCTTGCTCATGAAATTGCAGATTAGTGTTTCTAAAGAAGAGCCTATTTTTCTTTGGACTATCCACGTATGTTAACATGGATCAAAGTTAATTTATGACTACAGAAAGTAGGACATAAAGAACAGAAATAATGATGAAGACAACTTGAGTCTGGAGTGTTAAAAAGATCTTTGCAAACTAGGGACTTTAATCTTTTTGTAGTCTGTACATAGTAGACCATTGGTAGGGTTTTGCTCTTTCAAACTTGGTGAATTCACTTACCATACATTGTCATCATTTTTCCCACCCCAACACAGGTAAACAGAATGCAAAAGATCACTCTGTTCTCATTTTTAGCTAGAGGGTACATGTCCTACTATATAAACTCAAGTGAAAACGTAAGCAAAAAGAAAATTAAAAAGCAATTCGCACTGAATCATGAAAGTTTAATAGTCGCACAGAATATTAAAAGTTCTGAGACAAAATTAGATTATAGTGAGCAAAAACGTTACTTTCTAAAGACTGTACCACCTTAAAGACAACTTTGACATTCCATTTTCTATCATCTAATTTGTTTTTTCTTTCAAAAGATGGAAAAATAATCTGCACAAACCTCTACAGGAAGAGGATGGGGGGCAAGGACAACATCTACGTTCCCATCCCGCAGGCGTCTGGAAAGTTCCATCTCCCACTTTTCTGCATCCAAACCTTAAAGATCCTTCAAGTCCGGTTTCCGCGCTCTTCCCAGTGCCAGAAGTGCTGAGCTCACCGTGCAGTCCCTGCCTTTGGCCTCAGGTCTTTCTCCACCTTTAGATTTCTGTTACCGAGGGCGTCCAACCCAGGTTCCTGCGGCCCGAGGGGGCAGGTGGACCCCGTCTGGGCCGCGCCATTGGGCCAGTCAGGCGGGACTTAACGGCGCCTGGCAAAGGCCCACGCGGCCCCATAGGGCCCACTGACGCCGTTCAACCCCAAACCCCACCATCCAGCTCAACTCCCCTCTGACGTGAGAATGTGTGGGGCGGGGCGAAAGTGAATCAAGAGTGAAAATAATAACCCGAATCGACAGCCCATCCGCCGCGCTCGCCGCTCCAAATGCCACACACTGCATGGACTAGAGGCGGGAAAGGCCCCGGCGTCCACTCAAAGGTAACGAGGTCGCGAGTTGGTCCCGTAAGTCGCGTGAAGCGACAAGACCACGTCTACCTAACTACAGACGCTCCTCATTGGACCAACTCTCCTCGCTAACGGTCGTCCAAGCCGCCTGCTATTTCCCTAGGGCCAACGTCGAAAAACCGCCCTCGTGCCCACGCCCAGCGCACGGCGCCTGCGCACACTCTCCAGCGGTAGACTCAAGAGCTGTCAGTGCGCATGATCCACCCTTGATCTCCGCCCCGCTGATTTTCTACACCGTTTCTGAAGCCAGATGGCTTGCGCATGCGTGCCTGCGGTAGCTGCTTCTGACCCCATAAAAGCGAGAAGCGGCGGGTATTTGCGGCGGGGCTTGCCGGAAGTCGCTCTGCTTCCTCTCTTCCACGCTGCACTGGCGGAAACTCAAGCCCTGGAAGAGAGGTTCCGGAGCTGGGCTGGCCTGGCTGGAGGCGGCAACATGGAGACTGGGACTGAGGACCCAGGACTAAAACGCCGTCCGACGCTGGCCTCTTCCTGGGATGCCGCACGCGGGGCCCTGACCCAGAGTCTCCTTCTCAGCCAGACTCGTCTCAACTTCGAGACCCGCGACTTCGACTGCGAAGAGCTGCTGGCGCCGCCTCCTTCGGGGTGCGCCGGGCTGGGGTTGCTGCGCCGGCTGACAGCCACGCTCCTGGGGGAGGCGGGGACCGCGACAGAACAGGGTCTGTGCCCGGGGTCCGGGAGCAGAACTGGTGCCTGCTCTGTGCGGGGAAGTGGCGGCTGCGAGGTGGAGTCGAGGTCCGGGGTGGGCCGGGGGCAGAGAGCTGCGGATGGGGGAAGTGGCCGCGGCTCTGGGGGCGCAGGAGAGCGGGAGAAGGTGACCTGGACTCTCGGAATTTCATAAGCATGCCCCTGTGACAGGCATGATGGCTCGTCAGTTCTGTCAAAATCAATCCGACCATCTACCCCCGAGCAGATAAGCCTCCTGTCGACCCAAAGTGGCTTTTTGAAAAGTCCAACTGTACAGGAGCGCCGTCAATTTAAGTTTGGAAAAGATACACTTTTGTCTTTTATTGTATTCTGTTCCCCACTCCTATGCACACAATAGCTGTCCAGTAAATGTATTTAATTATCTGAGAATCAGTTACAGGGATTGAGTAGAATGTGATTGACGGAAAACCGTAGAGGGGAAAGCCCTGATGTCTGAAGCCTCTCTTTCTTTATGAATTCTGTATTGAGCGTTTGTGGGTGCTTGGACCCCAAGGGCAAGTGGAAGTGAGTTAGAAGAAACACCCATGGCCTAACAAGTGAGTTTTGATTGGCGTTCAGAGAAGTCTACTGTGTAATGCTTTCACCAATTTTCTTCTCAGGCAGGATCTGGTGATTTTGAAGAGAAGCCTGAACAGCCAAGATGAAAGCCCCTGCTTCCTCTACCTGAGGTGTGACCCTAACGGAGGTGAAGAAATCGTTTCTGTTGGCATTCTCAGTTCTGCAAGAAATATGGAAGTATACTTAGGAGAGGAGTACTGTGGAACCAGTCGGGGCAAGAATGTTGGTACTGTCCTGGATGACAGGTTCGTGACTTGTACGAGTCACAGTGTTCTTCTGAACCAGTGTTTTTATTTTCCCACAGCCTTTGTGGTGTTTATTGATTATCTGACATGGATGCCATACGTTAAGGGAGAAAAGGTAGAAACGATAAAAGAAAAAACTTTTTCTTTTCTTTTTTTTTTAAATTCAAAGAACGCGTAGAAGGTTAAACCGTTAAGGGATTTTATGGATAGGCAATCTAGATCAACCTAGTTTGTTTTGTTTTGTTTTGTTTTTTTGAGACAGAGTCTTGCTCTATCACCCCAGGTAGAGTGCAGTAGCTGGATCATAGTTCAGCGCAGCCTCAAACTCCTGGGCTCAAGCTATCCTCCTACCTTGGCCTCCCAAAGTGCTGGATTACCATGCTGGGCCGCTAGTTATTTTTTTAAATATGGAAATTTAGAACTAATAAGAGTGGAGGCAAATTGGTAGAAGGTCAGAGCTAGTTAGTGGAAGAGTTTTATTAGAATGAAATTTTGATAAGTGTTTCTTGTCTCATTTAACTCACAGGGGTCTGTTTCCACAAGTTAATTTGGCAGTTAGTCTGGAACTTTGAACACATTTTCTTCTTGGAAGCCCGTTAACAAATGGTGCAGGAATCTTAAACTGTGTTACATCAGCCTGATTATTAACCTGTAATGCAACTTACAATTTGTAATTTTTTTTTAAAGATTCTGCCCCAGTCTGTCTTTAACCCAAAATATGAATCCTGAATGTTGGAAATAATTACTATGTTTATTGAGTTTTAAAATATTTTCTGTAATACACTATTGTATATATGTTATTTAATTGTGTCATATAGCTAGTAAGTGGTAGATGTAATCCTTACAGGCAGTGGAATTCAGTAAGGAGCTCCTACTCTTTATGTCACCAGGAAAACTGAATCTCAGGATTTAAGTATTATCCTGGAAACATTTATTTTCAATGCAAGTAT